CTCTCTCTCTCTCTCTCTCTCTCTCTCTCTCTCTCTCTCTCTCTCTCTCTCTCTCTCTCTCTCTCTCTCTCTCTCTCTCTCTCTCTGTGTGTGGGGCACGTACATATATCTTTTTGCGCACCGCTCGCAGCGCGCGCACTGCGCACAATGCACAGTGCGCGCGCTGCCATTCCAGCGCATTGCGCACCGGCTCGTACCACACTGCGCACTGATGCGCCGCAACTATGAGGCACACCCCTTTAACCCCTTTGAAGCCAATTTCTATCACCCTCACCCCCTTTGACATCCAACACTCGAAAAAAAGAAAAGAGCCCGGATTTGGGCTCCTCTGGGAATGCCTGGATGACCCTCACCACCAAAAAAAAAAAAAGAAAAAAAAAACCACTTTTTCTCGCACAAAAATACTGAACCAGCCTGGCCGTCCGGTGGTGCAAGGACCAGGGAAGGGCCCAGCAAAAGAAAAGCAACAATTCAAAAGAATAGAAAAAAGAAAAACTATGTGATGCACAAAAATACTGAACAACTTTTGCCTCAGGGTCACATCGAAATCCTTCACCAAATTAAAAAAAAAGTTCGGTGAAACTCCGACAAAACAGTTTGTCACAGCCCCTCATTTGTTGTCGTCTTCTCCCTCTCTGCCTACGGTTTACCGGGCAGCTCTGTTTGACGATATATATACCACGACTTAGATAGCAGCCTGCTATGGTTTTCTCCGGTCAGGTTGAGCGTCTGTGGTGGGGGTCGTCACTACGTGGCCACGCTGTGCCTCTAGTGCCAGCGGTGTGTCTGGAGTGTATGTTTTGGCTGCGGTAGACCTTTCTTTCTTTCGTGGGTGTTTTGCTTGCTTGTGATGGGGTGTGAACCGACAGTCCGTAGAGTTTTGCATCTGGTGTGGGTGAGTGATAGTCTGCTTTGATTTTCGTCACAGGTACCTTGAGGGCAGTGGTGGGTGCCCACCTTAGGGTATCAGTTGCCGGGCAGTGGTTGATGCTTAACCACAACCGGGGTTAAGGTGGATTATCACTTACAGTGTAATCGGTTGGGGGATTCTGCAGACTGTTGAGGGTTCACCTCCTGATGAGTCGATCCGACGAAAGAATTTGTCACAGCCCCTCGTTTGTTGTCCTCTTCTCCCTCTCTGCTACGGTTTACTGGGCAGCTCTGTTTGACGATATATATACCACGACTCCGATAGCACCCTTCTACGGTTTTCTCCGGTCAGGTTGAGCGTCTGTGGTGGGGGTCGTCACTACGTGGCCATGCTGTGCCTCTAGTGCCAGCGGTGTGTCTGGAGTGTATTTTTTGGCTGTGGTAGACCTTTCTTTGTTTCGTGGGTGTTTTGCTGGCTTGTGATGGGGTGTGAACCGACAGTCTGTAGAGTTTTCCATCTGTTACGATCCTGGCCAATTTCGAAGTCTACATTCATCACAAAGTACAATGCCGTCCAATTGCAAAAAGAAATGAATGAACTTGAGAGGGGAGAGAGGGAAAGAAGAAGAAGAAGAAGTAAGAAAGAAGAAGAAGATGATGTACTCCAGCATAGACCAAAGATAATGCTCTTCTTCGTCGCCAACCAATTTCCTCCTCCTTGTCTCCTCCTCCCTTATTCAAACAAGACATAACAATAATAATGTTGAATGGCTGAACCAGAATCAATGTCGGAATCCCACTTCTACTGCAGGCACAACATGAGGTCCACCATAGCCATAGCCACCATTCTCCTTCCTCTCACATGTCCAAAGGACAACCCAAAGCAGCTATGTCACTGCCTCCCTGTGCAAAGGACAATGCAAAGCAGCTATGCCGCTGCTCACTAGGCCACCATACCTGTCTCTGCCCCGAGCTTCCTTGGCGCGGCAGTACCCCAACGGGGGCCTTCCAAATGAAGATGGTGTCCACCATAGCCAGGTAGGTACCTCGCCACTCTCCTCCCTAGTCCCCTTCTCCTTCCTCCTCCTACCGGTAGAGCTCCACCATAGCCAAGGTGGAAGCTCCCAACTTCTTCCTCCCAGCAGCGCTGTAGTACCCAGCGCTACTCCAGCCAGCGCTCCAAAAGTGTGTCGCCAAACTTGCACACTGAAGAATGAGGCCGGGCTCTTCCCTCGGCCTCTTGATATAGCGGCCTACTTGCCTCCTGGGCGGTGACTTCCAGGCCGCTCGGCCTCCCAAGCAACCAGTACCTCCTCCCTTTCGGAGGGAAACATCATTGCAGACTCTGATATTGCCCGTACAGGCTCTAGACTCAGACTGGATGGACTGGTACCGGCCTAGACCTAGCCTACCGCTACCGGGCCTCTAAAAATGCCAACTTTGTCTTCTTCTGCTCAGCCTCGAGTACCCGGCACATCTACTGCTACTGGGTGTGGTACCGGCCTACCTGCTACTTGAGTGTTTTTCCGCTGCTCCAAGTGCCGCGGGCCTCTGGCTCCGCCACTTGAGTGTTTTCCCCTGCTGCAACCCTCAATGCCACGACCACAGGTAAGTACCGACCCTACAGGCCTGCCAAACAAGCAAGTACCCTTGCGGGTCACACACACACTCATACCGACAAGCACGCAGACAGGCACGCAGGTCAACAAGCACGCACACATACAGACTTAGAAAACTCAGGAGAATGTGGGAATCTCAGCAAGGCATCCATTCCATCGGCAGAACTTCAGAAAGCAGCAGTGTTCTCGGTCTGTGTTATGGCGGGTCATTACACATCAAGTGTGGGTGAGCGATAGTCTGTTTTGATTTACGTCACAGGTACCTTGAGGGCAGTGGTTGGTGCACACCTTAGGGTATCAGTTGCCGGGCAGTGGTTGATGCTTAACCACAACTAGGGTTAAGGTGGATTATCACTTACAGTGTAATCGGTTGGGGGATTCTGCAGACTGTTGAGGGTTCAGCCTCCTGATGAGTCGATCCGACGAAACAATTTGTCACAGCCCCTCGTTTGTTGTCCTCTTCTCCCTCTCTGCCTATGGTTTACCAGGCAGCTCTGTTTGACTATATATATATATATGATGGGGTGTGAACCGACAGTCTGTAGAGTTTTCCATCTGGTGTGGGTGAGTGATAGTCTACTTTGATTTTGGTTAAGGTGGATTATCACTTACAGTGTAATCAGTGAGGGGATTCTGCAGACTGTTGAGGGTTCAGCC